TATGCAAACTTTTATATTATAGCGGAACTATAGAAGGTTGGGCTGAATTGTGGAAAACAATGAAGGTGTTGAATTGATGTGCTGTGATATGTTGTGCTGTGCTGTGCTGAGTTGTGTGATATTATAGCCGCTGAGTCGATGCTGTTATTAGCCACATATGTGGTGCTGTTATAACCGCTAAGTCGGTGCTGTTGTTGCCGCTTTGCGGTGCCGTTATAGCCACTTGAGTGGTGCTGTTGTTGCTGCTAAGCAATGCTGATATTGCCGCATTGCAGTGCTGATATTGTTGAGTGGTATAAGTTGTCTGATGTGCTGATAACTATATCTGTTGTTATTATTTTGCTATATATATATATATTTGCATGTTGATTTTTAATTACACTAGCTTACCCTTTGGTTGTTTCCATGATGTTGGACTGCGATGATCATACTATGTATGGGAGCAGAGCAGGGATAGGTAGGTGTCTGGTGGGGAGTCTCCGGCAGACCCGTGGAGCTGATTGCTTTGTGATTATTTTGCTGTGTAGCTACTTAGGATAGTAGCATGTGACTGTAATTTCTTTTGTACACTTTAACTCTGTTCAGACTGGATTCATGTATATGTATATTCTAGACTCTATATATATACATCTGTTCTCTTCTCTAGTGGTTGGGCCTTTAGCCCATGCTCTTCCATCAGTTGTGATAGCCGACGTAAATTTACGTCGAACATTAACAAGAACCAATGTAAAAAAGTTGTAAAAAAAAACATAACGAGTGCAAGTAGAATGGGCTGTTAGGCAAGCAAAAAGGGTCGTTTTGCTTGGAGATCCTCCCAAACGCGAAGAATTTTCTACTTGATATTAACTAATATATTAACAAAGGATGATACACCCAAACGCGAAGAAGTGGATAATATTAACCAATATATTAATAGATCAATACATGCATTTATTTTCAACAAATTAGCTAATATATTAAGAAAGGATTTTCCAAACTAACCTCAAACGCGAGCCTAATGCAATCGGTCAAAAACTCAAGAACCACCCAAACGCCCAAATGTACACTCAAATGCAATACACTCAAACGAAATGTTAACTCAGAAGACTTGATTTGCACATACATTCAAAGCTATGTTGTTTAAATGTTGACGCGCGCGAAGAAATTTAAAATTTGTAGTTGTTTTACATTGGACCTCATAGAGGCCGACGTAAATTGGAAAATCTACGTCGGACACAAGCTATATCCAACGTAGATTTTCAAATTTGCGTCGGGTCCTATGAGGTCCGACGTAAAAAACTTGATTATAATTACAAAAATACTACTGCATTTTTTTACCGTTGAATTTTTCTTTATCCGACGAGAATACAGTGACGTAAATTTCATATTTTATACTAGTGTAAAAATGCATGTACAACATAAGTGGATTTAATCCTGTTTCAAAAAAAAAGTCAATTGAAATATAAATGTGATTTATGTATCACATCTAACTCGTATTTTTTAGTTACTAACAATTTTATTTATATTGTATATTTATAATTAATTTTTCTAATATATTTATAGGTAATTAATGCTGATTTATAGGTAATCAATTTTTTTTTAACTAATTTACCCCCAAAACTATATATCTCTAAATCACTTTCTCTTTCACTATCTTTTATATTTATCTATACTTTTTTTTTTCTATTTCAACAATATTCAATTTTCAAAATTTTCACCTTATAAATAACTAGTCATTATCTCTTTTAATTTTAATTTTAATTTTTAAATAGAGAGATGCAAAATACATTTTTCCCCTAATTACACCACTTTCATTAATATAGATTGCTTTGTTTTTAAAGTTACTACAATAATATTTATAAAAAAAATTATAAGGAAAAATAAATAATTTTTAAATTATAAAAACTAAAAAAAAGTAATTAAACTTAATTATAAGAAGAAAAAAATTCCATTACTTGTTTGGCCAATAAACATTTCTAACTTTTTTTATTTCTATAACTGTTATATATTTCTCAGTGTGTTGTTTATTCTTGTGGTATCCACACTAAACATGTTAAAAAAAAAAATTACTGCCATTTGAAATTTAAACAAAGTTCTTTACATTTGTAGAAGAAAATATATATACTGTTTCAAATTATATACATCACAACGAGAAAACAAAATGGGAAAAAAAATATACTGTAAAAAAAAGTCATGGAAAGCTTCATATATGAGAAACTACGTAAATAAAAAAAAATTTACAAATAGCAAAAGCAGATGAAAATCACTAAGGTTCGGTTCCTATATCTTGGTTAATGACAGCAGCATGCAATGCTGTTCGATTATGAGGGCCATCATATGCCAGTGATGTCATTTTGTTTAATATCTCATTCACCACCTGCTGTTGTTGTCTTTCTGATGCCAGATAAAGCGGAGTCTCGTTCGCGTTATTTGCATAATAGGAGTATTATGTATCCATCTCCAACAAGGTCTTCACCACTTCAATGGTCACATAGCGCACAGCCTCATGCAGCGCAGTGTCCTTCTCATTGTTTGTGGCCCTTATAAACTTTTTATCTGCTCCAATACCATTCTCAATATCTGTTGGAAAAGCTTTGACACGTTCAACCAACAATTTAGCCACAGTGGAGTGTCCATACCTTGCAGCGATATGCAGGAGGGTTTCTCCTTGGCGTTAGGGAGTAGAACTAGATCTCCACACTTGTCAAGAATCTGATTCACAAATTCTTACTGGGGTTCAGGTGTTGGGTGTTGTAATCCTAGCAACTTTCTATGCATTTGTTGGACAAATGTATCCGAAAGATATTGGATGTTGTGACTACTTGTAGATGCAAGTGTATATGAAGAAAGATGTTTTAATAAGGTTAAAAACCTCTTTTTGTCCCTTACATTATTTAATATTTTCAATTTAGTTCCACTTTAATTTTTGATCTCAATTTGGTCCCTAATAACTTAAATCGTTCCAATTTAGGATTTCCGTCCAAATGATTTAGACGGAGTTAATTGTTGGTCACGTGGCATCTACGTGGATGCCACGTGGATGTGCACGTGGACGCCAAATTTTTTGAAAAACTTTGAAACCAGAACGGGCCGTTCTGTTTTAGAACGGGCCGTTCTGGTTTTAGAACGGGCCTTTCTGAATTCAGAACGGCCCATTCCAGAACCATGCTTTTTTTATTATATCTATATTAATAAATATATAATAAATATATAATAAATAAAAAATACAATAAATTAATATTCATTTATGAATAAAACTGAAAAAAAATCAAATAAGATAAGACCTTCTAAAATATTTCTTTGATTTGAATTTATCCGGTTCAAAATCTTGACTAAAATGTCGCAATGTATTTCAAAAATTGAAAATAAAATTCAGGATTTAGGGGTACCTCCTCAAGAACAGGTTGTTATTGTTGGAGTACATCGTCAATGACTTTAAGGAAAAACACTGTTTCGTTTTATCCTTGACTGTATAGTGTCAATTTGGTAGTAAATGGTTCACTTCAGTTTGACTAACAATGAAATAAAACTTGTTACCATTGTCCTTAGTGATACACTACATCATCCTTAATAATATACTGTATAGCCCAAATGTTTAGCGATTGAAGTTATTAATCCTCATTAACAATATGACTAAATCTAGTGTTTAAAATGCTTTGTATTTTCCCTAAAAAAAATGCTTTGTATTTTGGTTTTTGTGGCACAAAATTCTGGACCAGAACGGCCCGTTCTGAAACCAGAACAGCCCGTTCTGGTTACACTGTTGATGTGTTAATTTTGGACCTGGAACGGCCCGTTCCAGGTGAAAATTTTACACACCATTTATGTAACCAGAACGGGTCGTTTTGGTTTCAGAACAGGCCATTCTGGTTCCAGGTGTATTCAATTATTTTTGGATCTACCTACGTGGCATCTACATGGCATCCACCTGGCATCCACGTGGCCACCAGTTAACTCTGTCTAAATCATTTAGACGGAAGTCCCAAATTGGAACGATTTAAATTATTGGGGACCAAATTGAGACAAAAAATTAAAGTGGGACTAAATTGAAAATATTAAATAATATAAAGGACGAAAAGAGGTTTTTAACCTTTTAATAACGTCGGTAAGTTTTATTTAATTTTATAAAATAATAATTAATTTTAATATAGATATTGTTATTACTTATATTTTATGGTTTCTAATAATCTCATATAAATTCTTTAAATCTTAAGACATCTTTAGTTAGTTATCACTAAATTTATATCAAATATTAAAGTTTATTTATCTTAAGAATCACTTAATGAATATATACACTCTTTATATATTATTTATTTACTTGATTTGTGACTTTAATTTGGAGAAATAATTAGAAATTAGAAAAGTATATTTTTTATGTGACATTTATTTACTCGATATGAGACTTTAATTTTGAAATTCGTTAGAAAAAATAATATTGAGATAAAAAAATGTTACTTTATCTTGAATATTATTTATCTTGAATATTAAAATATATTTTTATTAATGTAATTAAAATTTAAATAATAAAAAATAAATAAAATTAATATACAACTTATACTATAACTTTTCTAAGTCAACTTATACTATTACTAATTCATAATAAATAGATATACTTAATTAAGTACTACATTTTAAATTTATGATGAATAATTTAAATTAGAATATAAAATTATTTTTAAATTTTCATAATTTAAGAATATTGAAATTTAGGGATAAAAATAAAAGATGGTATGATAAAAATAAATAAATTTATATATAAGATAAAAGAAATATAATTTAAATGAATAATTGAAAGAGATTTCTTTTTTACCATTTGTTGAAATAATGCGTAAACTATAACTATAAATAACAATAATAAAAAGTATTTAAAATATATAATTGAAAAACTGAAGAGAATAAAATTATATAAATTTATGAAAGCAATATTCAAATTATAAATTATATTTACTATATATTAAATTATAAAATAATATTTAAATACATTTATACATTATATTAAGTAAAACTAAAAATATTGCCCCTACACTTCTATGAATATGCATTAGATAAGCGAATTTCACCGGCAGAACATCAAATGAGTCGAACGGTTCCTTATTACCATCCAGAATATAAGTAAAATACAAAGCAGCTTATTCTATAATGGCATTTGTTGCCACAAGAAATTCTATTTGCGTCCCTTCAACACAATAGTAGGTATGCTCTGTTCGTTTCTGAAGAAGTTTAGAGGATCAACCCTTGTCTTCACTCTTGCCAATCTGTTGAAGTTGTTTTTAAAGTACTTAAGACCCCAAATGCTGGCTTGACTATAGCTTGTGTAGCCATCGTTATTTACGCCAATGTCAAGGTCTCTATAATTCACATATGCAGCTCTAGGAGACTTTGAAACATAAGCTTCCATATAACTGTACACTCTTCTAATCCACTCCACGTGCCTTTGTGCTGCCTCTTCCCCTTCCTCTTGCCATTCCACCCCGTATTGAATATGGAATATGTTTCCAGATCTGTGTGGGAATGGAATTTCAGATTCCGAAATCTCATCCATCCTACCTCCATAAGGAGTGAATTGAACATAAGCAGCTTGAGCCTCATCTTCATAAAAGAAGGGCCATAAACATTGTAACCCTACATCAGGAATAGGATCCCTCACATAATCAGATTTTGCTTTGAAGAACGACAAACCCTGTAATTGAGTTCTGTTCAGCAAAACATCAGTGGATTGACCGCTTGTAAATCCAGCCATGTAGAGAACTGAATCAATCCAACTCATCTCAGTACAGTCCTCTCTGACCAAACCTAACTCTGGAAAGCTCTTTTGCATCAAGGGAATGAGTTCATCCACACCTCCAAGATACATGGACACAAATTGAGCTTGTACTGTGAGCTTCCCATTTTGACTTGAATTTACCTTAGCCATGTTGATCCCAATGGTTAGGTCCTCGTCAAGTTTATTTGCCACGAGCTGCCACTTGTGAATAATCTCGGTTGCATTCTGTTCCAATGTCCTTGGAACTCGGAACACTGTAACAGTTGATGGAACCGAAACTAGTTTTATCTTCCAAGCCACGATGACTCCGAAGCTTGCTCCTCCACCTCCTCTAATGGCCCAAAACAGATCCTCACCCATGCCTGCTCTATCGAGAACATTTCCTTTCACATCAATTATGTGTGCATCAATTATATTATCAGCAGCAAGACCGTACCTACGCATCAAGAATCCATAGCCACCACCACTGAAGTGGCCACCAGTGCCCACAGGGGGGCACATGCCTGCTGGAAACCCTAGTGTTTTGCTTTTTTGGCTAATACTGTAGTAAAGTTCACCAATAGTTGCCCCAGCTTGAACCCATGCAGTGCTGTTTTCTACGTCCACATTGATTTCTCGAAGGTTTATGAGGTCAACGACGACAAATGGAACCTCCGCAACGTACGAGAGACCCTCGTAATCATGGCCCCCACTTCGAGTTCGAATCTGCATGCCATGGCGTTGGGAACAGATTATGGTGGCTTGAATGTGGGAAACATCCAGTGGTGTCACAATGACAAGGGGTTTTGAGCTTACGTTGTAGAACCTGAGATTTCGAATGGAAAAGTCTAGTGTAAACGAGTATGAAGAATTGGTTTGGGTATAAACAGCCTTGGAGATTGAGGTGGTATTATGGGGGTAATTGTAAAGACATCCGACAAAGTTTTTATGAGTATCTGGGGTGGAATAGGCAAATGAAAATAAAAGAGCAATGGCAACAACGGTAAAATACAAGCTCAGATGCATCATATTTTGTTGATGGTGTGTTTGTGCAAACGAGAGATGCATGCAATTAGATAAAAGGGAAATGCAAAATATCTAAAAGTGTAGACACTAGATTTATTAACGCATGTCTTATTCTGCCATGGGAGGAGATAATTCAAGCACGTACACCCGTAAGAGTATTCTACAAATAATATAGATGGAGAAACTACAACAAGATAGACTTTTAGCAATATTTAATATGATTTTTAGTGGCAATAAAAATTACTACAAGGATCTTTTACCGGCATTATTCTAAATGTGTTAAAAATCCTTATAATAGTCGGAAAAAAGTGTATAACTTTTTGTGACATTTTTTTACTTTCTAGTCGATGTGAGACTTGTAAAATGAGTACATGATACTCTTTAATTACTTTATCTCTAGTCGATGTGAGACTTGTAAGATAAGGGTTGTCTTCTACTTATATATTCGTTTTAATTTTCTTATTTCTAGTCGATGTGCGATTTGTAAGAAATTTTAGATAGTGGAGGCAATATTTATTTCTATATTTGTAGTCAGTGATGGATCCAGAAATTTTAAATAATAGGGATAATATTTATTCATATATTTGTAGTATTAAAGATTTTACATATAATTTTTAAAAATATAAATATATCATAATTACTTTTTACAAGGTTTTATATCTACGATTATAATTAAAAATAAAAATAATTAGGTCCGACTAGATTATATTATAATTTATCTACCGTATTTCAAATATTTGGTTAGAATTATAATCCTAAAGACCTACTTTAAAATAATTTAACACTAATAAAAATTAAAAATAAATGTTAAATTTTATAAAAATCAAATTTAATTTATTTATGATATAAACATGTTTTTAATATATAATATATATTTTTAGATGATAATTTATTTTAAAATAATTTATAATAAAAATTCTAAATAGAGCACAAATCTTCTGATCTTTCCTATTTTAATTTTTTCAATCAACATATATAATATTACTATTTTAATTTTTTTTATCGTCATATATAATAAATAGAAAACACAATAGGTAAACATACATGCTACAAATTTTATTTTATCAAAAATTAATTTTTTTTAACATATTGCATTATATATGTGAGTATTAATATATACATTATCATATATATTCTTTTTAATTTTCTTATCAATAATCGATCCCCTTAAGTTTAAGGACTATTGAGTTTGATAATAGTGAGTAATCTCGAGAATTATTATTTATTTATATACTCTTTAATTATCTTATTTCTAGTCGATGTGAGACTAAAGTTTTTCTTAATAAATAATTGTCGTTAATAATAAATTTTGGTGTGATATAAATACATTTTTAGTGACTAATATATATTAATCATAATACTTATATTAAATAATAAAATAAAAATAATTAATTTATTACTGTGAAATAATTATCAATAAAAATAAATTTTGTTGTAGTAACACAATCAGACAAGTCCGAGGACCAAACTCGCATTACAAGCATATATGCACGAGATTGTACATTGGAATCTTGATTGCGTGATTTTGAAAATCAATCTTACGTGAAATTGAATGATAATGTTTTCTTGGATTTATCTTCTTTCATATTTATCTTCTTTCATATTGGTTTTGTGAAGAACCGTATTCTTTATCACTTGAACAGATGCGTGTTAATATATATCATATCATAATTATGGGTTGCTAAATTTAAGATGAGTTCATATCAAGAGTTACTTTTAATGTATTTATTAATTTCTATTTTCATTTAAATTCAATACATATACCAATAAATTATTAATTTAAGTGATACTGAGCTTAATTTTTTTAAATAAAATCTCGAATTTGAATTTTGTATGTAAAAGAAAATTTGATTGAAACAGAATATTATATTAAAAAAGGTCAATCAGATACTTTGACGAGAATTTGTTATTAACAAAATTAATAAATACTTTATACTAATAACATAATTTTAAGAAAATTAATGTGTTTATTTTATAATAATTTTTATAGCAAAAATTAAAGAAACAATTTTTTAATAAAAATAATGTATTTTTTATGATTTAGTATTTAGTAAAGATATTAAAATTGAATTACTAGCATTAAATCACCTTCCCGTTTCTTGTTAAAAATTTGAAATCCTTTCTTGGATACTGCTAGAATGTTATCGTATTAAAAAAAAATGGTACTAGTTTATTTTTAGCCTTTAAAAGTTACAAAGGATCATTGTGTTTTAATATCTAATGAATACTTATTTTTAGCCTTTAAAAGTTACAAAGAATTATTGCGTTTTAATATTTAATGAATAATTATTTTTAACCTTTAAAAGTTACAAATGATTATTGTGTTTTAATATCTAATGAATAATTAACATATATTTTTTGTTTAAATATAAAAATTACAAAAAAAAAAAAAACATAAAATAATAATATTTTTAATGATAAAAGCATATAATCATTAGGCTATCGATACAATATTTGAAGTGGCCAATTCCTTATCATGATGCCAATAGATTGGACAAATTGTCTCCTTATTTTTTTTTTTTTTTATTCTTTCTATAATTAAATAATTAGACTAACTCATGAACATGATTGTAGCGTGTTAATAAACCTATCTATTGATATATTTTATTTTTCATTTATAGATCACATTTATTTTTTTTATTAAAAATAATTTTATTTGAATTAAATAAAATAATTATATATGAATGATATTTTTTTTTATCTTTATGTATTATTTAATGTAATTGTATATTAAGAACTCAATTGAGACTAGCTACTGATCGTTTATTCATGTGCTTGTTTATCCATGTGCTTGTTTGTAAGTATTGATGTATTCTATTGTTTTTTTGAACAGCTAAGAAAAATTTCATTGAAAGGTACCAGTGGTACCAAAAGAGAAAAGACAAGTTTACAAATAGAACCAAACATCTGTAACCCATGAAGAGAAAATAAAAAAATAAAAAAGAAGATTACCCACTTCAGTAGTTGTTACAGTGAACCCTTCACAACTCGCTACTCCAGCCTTATTATGAGCAACTCTACCCCACCCACCCTCCCTCTCTAACTGATCGAATTAAACTATAATTTATCCTACCCAGTTTTGAGAACAACCTATCAATTATACACCCACTTGCATCTTAGTTATCTTCCACCTACCTAGACACCTCAGACCTTCATCTAGTTAAACATAGACCAGGATTGCAGCACCATTGTGAAAAACTATACCGGAAAGACTTTGTGAAGGATGACAACCACCTCCAACTGTGAACCTGAATCTCTTTCACCATACTATCAAAACAGAAGCTGCTATCCTTGAACCTACATAGATTCCTTGTCCTCCACACTATCCAAGTAGTTACCAGCCACACCGTACGCCAATAAACAGCTTGTGTACTTTGGTGAAAAGGTCCAGGAATGAAGTTGAAATGGTCCAAAATGCACCTAGGAAGGGGAGCGGGACAATTAATCCACGACAGACATACCTTCCATACCTTGTCAACCACCGGGCAGGTGCAGAACAAATGATAATCAGTTTCAATATCACTCTTACAAAAAACACATAGTGCATCATTTTCTGATAAGACAATACTCCTGCTAGCCAGATTATCCACCGTAGGGAGGCCCCTACTCATCATTCTCCAAGCAAAAATTTTAGCTTTTGGTGGTGCCGGGATGGACCAAACACTGCTAGGTGCACCAATATTGGATCCTACATCAGCTTCAGAGGTGATGGCACTATATGCAGACCTGACTGTATAAGTTCCAGACGGTTCACCCAACCACCACCATGAGTCAACCTGCCTCGCCCTAGGATTACACTCCAAGAGTCGTTGCATTAATTGCTGCTCCAGCGGTATCTCCCATTCGAACCTTTCCCGTCTCCAATGTAGCTGCCATGCCCACCTATGGCCTGTCCAATAGCCCATATCCTGAATAAACTGGTTTTGCTGTTCAGAAATAGTGAATAACCTCGGAAAAAGACTTGCTAGACAGATTGGGCCTATCCACTTATCCAACCAAAACCTCACTCTTGATCCTGATCCAATACTCCACTTAACCTTCCTATCAAACCAATTGTCTTGTTCTAGTCCGCCACATACCACAACTAGATCCCTCCACCATAAGGAATCTCTTCGGGAACTACTTTGAGCACAAAGGTTTGTCCCCCCACCATATCTCGAATATAATACTCTGGCCCATAGAGAATCATTTTGGTGAAACAACGACCACCTCCACTTGGCCAGCAAAGCCATATTAAACCTGATAATATTTTTGACTCCTAATCCCCCCATCTTCTTTGGCAACGTCACCCTATCCCAGCTTATCCAGCAAATCTTGCGTTGATCTTCCTTACATCCCCACAGAAAGTTTCTTTGTAGACTAACAATTTCTTTGCTGACACTAGGTGGAATTCTGAAAAAAGAGAGAAATAATAATGGTAGCGAGGTTAAAACTGAGTTCAGTAAGCACACTCTACCAGCCATTGATAGGACCTTGCATTTCCATGATGACAACTTTTTCTGAATTTTGATAACAATGGGCCTCCACGTGTCTTTCTTTCTTGGATTGGCGCCAATGGGAATCCCTAGATATGTGAAAGGAAAGGATAAAATTTTGCAATTCAATAAGTGCGCATAGCTTTCCACCAAACCAGATTCAATTCCCAAAGCTCCGAAGTTGCTCTTGCAGAAATTGACTTTCAAACCCGAGACCATCTCGAAGCATCTCATCATACTTTTAATTGTCATTACATTCTGTAAGTTTGCCTCACCAATAAACATAGTATCATCAGCGTATTGGATAATACTGACAGGCACCTGTTGAGAGCCAACCTTCACCCCACCAAAACTATTTTGACTCACAGCTTCCCTCATCATTCCCGTTAACCCTTCCGCTACCACTATGAATAGGAACGGGGACAGTGGATCACCTTGTCTGAGCCCCTTTTTGGGACCGAATTCCTCTGACGGGCTTCCGTTCACCAGCACAGACACTCTGGAAGACATGAGGCATTCACTGATCCAACTAACCCATAGGTTATTGAAACCAAGACGTCTTAGCATATACAGAAGATAGGTCCAACACACAGAGTCATACGCCTTTTCGAAATCCACCTTAAAAAATAGGGTCGGCTTATTCAATCTCTTAGCCTCGTCCACAACTTCGTTTACCACCAGT